CGAGAAGGCAGTGAGTAGGGCTTCCTCAGCAGAGGCTATTTGAGACACTTGGTCGTATGGGGGCATTTCGTGAGGTGCAAGGGCAGGGTGACCAGCCGCATCCCTAGACACCCACCCGCAACCATACGAAGGCGTTGGGAGGCCAGCAGGCTCAATCCCCATCCCTGTTTCAAATTCTCACTAACCTTTATGCATTATGAGTTTGGCAGCGATCAAGAAAGTTCACTTCATTTGTATTACACTGTAAAACGATGACGTATTTATTCATCACATTATATGCGCGAACCGGTATGGTGTACGCATTGTGAAAGGAGCACTTGATCCAAATCCATCATCATTGTTTACAAATGGCTTGTTCAATCAACTACAGGCATATCTCATTCTTTATGCATTAGTGTTTTTTCCCCACCCCACTTAATTGTTCCCCAGTTATTTTTCCTTGCTCACCTCAACAGGATTTCATTGGCTTACACCTAACTTAACTATTGTTAGTCCGGTTTCTTCGATTCCTGTGACTGAGTTAGCTGTAACACTTTCAGAGTATCATGCAACTTCCTGTGTGAAATTTGCGGACAGAATCCCCATAGATCCTGATCACCCATTCCATGCAGATTTGACACGTTGTAGTTCCCATCCCTTCACACGCTCTCACTAGAATTCACCTATACCCACGTTTACCCATGGTTGAGGGTACTTCGTCCTATTCTTGGATTATGAAATGTCCCCATGTCTGTAAATATTTTCTCCCCGTTGATTATGTTCTCTGTGACGTTTGGTGTATGTAGTTTTTTTTTTAAGTGAAATGTAAGCTTCAGTGCTTGCAAAAATTATACACGATAGACGATTCTTATTCAACCACATTTTATTTTATTCTAGGGACAATGTTATGAAGATTCAGTTTCGCGGGAAGAAATTCACGATTCATCTAAAATCACCCATGGTAAGTGATTTGTGATCAACGCTATGCAACAAAACGTTTTACTGTTTCTGCAGCCTCGTCATCTTAGCCAATTTTTACAATCAAATGCATCGCTGTCCTCCGCGTATATATATATATATATATATGCTATATTCTGAAACTTGCTGCCATTTTGTATCGTGCAAAAATTCCTTTTCGCATATTTTCTGTTAACTAATTTCCCATGTTCATTGTCTAATGAATGGACCATGAATATAACAGTAGACCGCCTAATATCATCAGCAATCGTAGTGCACAATCACGAAAGAACAATTCGAAACACACATGTAAGACCCTACTTCAATCATCTCTCTGCGTTCTCCCCAGATCCAACCTCATCGTCACGCTTCACTCTCCCCACGTGACGAGTGCACGCGTGAGAACCAGGCCGGTTTCAGGGCTGGTCGAGGCTGTATCGACCATATCTTCACTCTTCGGCAAATTCTAGAACACAGACACTCCTTTCGTAGACCCACCATCTCTGTCTTCCTCGATCTGAAAGCGGCTTTCAACTCAGTCGACCGCTCTAAACTCTAATCCCTCTATAATAATAGCCGAAGCCGAGTTCGAGCTTACGGCACTTTTTCGCCCGAGTTCACCACGGAAAGTGGTGTTCGTCAGGGTTGCTCTCCCTCTCTCCTTTGCAACTAAAGTTTCTCATAGATTTGATTATGGAAACAGCCCTATCCTCGTGCGAGGATAGTGGTATCGATTTACTTCTGGGTGGCACACTGTCTGATCTAACTTACGCAGAGGACATTGTGCTGCTAAGTGAAGATCCATGTAAGTTGCAAGCTTTTGTGAATGGTTTGAGTTCTGGTATAGCCATGTTCGGTATGTATTTTGCACCTTCAAAGTGTAAAATGTTGCGTTGGGTTGGTCTAGCCCCCAACCTCAGCCTGACCGGGGAAGTGGTAGAGGAAGTAGACATTTTTTGTTTTCAGGGCTGTTATATCCTCACCTGGCGGACGCATCACAGATGAAGTGTCAACGCGCATACAAAGAAGTGATTTTTGAGTTTCGTATATTTTTCTACGCCTAGACTGGTTTTCAGTGGGTTTTTTTTTAGCAGATTTGTATATACATACCTCGTTCTAGGTCTGTATATATTTTTTCGACCAAACACTAGTATGTTCGTTCGAAAATTTTGGATTTTTCTACTCTTCATAATTTTGATTGTTGTTAAGATCTGAAGAGCTTTCGTGGTCGGAAAAATCGACTGTTTGTCCGCTCCTCTTTTGAATTTGCTGCCATCTTTCGGCTGCTCTTGTCCATGCATCCCCGTTTGATCAGTCGAATCGGAACTTTCTCCGACTCAGGCCCCGGGCAGTTGAGAAACATGACTCATTTGATTAATTCGGACTTAAAATACGAACTAGATTGGTCATATCTTTGATTCACGTTTCAACGTTTCCACCCCTTCTCCGTTAACCTGTTTGTGTGTAAGTGTGTTGGAGAGATAGAGTGGAAGTTGTATTCAATTGAGAGGGAGATTTTGATCGAGTTCAGACACAAGCTAACCGGTTTCCAATACGTCAACCGTTTTCAGTCGGATAACCATGATACAGTCATGCGGGGAGTTAGCAAAAATGGCCAATCTATTTGCTCGTGCTTGTGGGACAGTCGTTTTTTGTCTACATGTATTTGTGTGTACCAGTTTCGCCCGCCCTCCCGGTTGAAGAACAGCTGGTTTCACGGGGAGAATGAAGTCTCGTTGAACCACCACATTTCAAGCAATGGATAGATGACTACGAAAAATGTATCCCAAGC